CATCCACATGATTAACAATTATTACATCCACATGATTAACAATTATTACAACCACATGATTAACACTTATTACATCCACATGATTAACAATTATCACATCCACGTGGACACAGTTAAATAAAAGACGTGCAAAGTTGTGCCAAAAATACATTTAACAGGAATGGATTCAGCCTTACTGGAGGATATAATAAATAGTGTAACACAGAGAGCTTTTATTTATAAACAGATAGAATTTTCTGATGACAAGTGGCCGTTTTGAGAAAAAATCATTTTTTAGTTTGGCACTGCTGCGATCTGGGAGCGCGACGCAGTGAGCCGCATGCGCATGCAGCAGCAGCGATTGAACTGGGGTTCCACAGGAGCTTTCCAGGGGGAGCTGGCAGACCCACCGGGACTGTATCAGTCCACCCAAAGCAGAGTCGTGACCAATGGAATCATCTCATCAAGATTCTAAAAGCTGAGTTATGGTCGCGCTCTGGAGCGCGCGCACCCTCGCCTGCAGTGGAGGTGTTTCATACTTTGTGTTTACGTTGCTGTAGATTTCTCCAAAATGACACGTGGAAGTACACTTTACAACTTGTGAAAATGCTGTAAGTAAAAACTTGACGGACAAACAGAATGAACACAAAGGCTGCGGCGTGCAGCGTTTGTGGAGACTCTCCAACATCATGTCAGGTCATGTGAACTCTCTGACACAGAGACTCGTTTCTTCATATCAGCTATGAAATAAACTAATATCAATGTTCTACCAAACATTTAAGTTCCTCTGTGTTTACAGTAATTATGGTAATAAACTCATGCGCAGTGATAAGCCGGTTGCGCAACACAGCAGTTTGCACACACACACACACACCGACACACAATCACTCGTTCTTTGCGTGATAAACACATTTTATTCCTACTCTTACTTAGGATTTTTTTCTCACTAACTTTTTATTCAGTTCATTATTTTTATGACATTAGAAATCATTTCTGATCACGCAGGGATCACTCAAACCTGTCAATCCCACATGCAGGAAGTAATTAGCATCTGTTTAACATATGTTAATGAAGGCGTGTCAGGGGAGGTGTCTTACCTGCGCTCAGTTCCACGTTAACTGTGATGTACAAAAGAAATGTGCGTGGATTCAGGCGTACGCACAGTTTGATACATCTGAATTTTTTTTGTGCGTACACCGTTTTCTGGATTTGACCGTACGTCAGGTTTCAGTAAGAAATCCACGCAAGTCTTTGTACATGACGCCCCTGGAGTGATCAGTGTTCAATTCTCACTGTATGGACATCTGGACAGTGGGACCTGCAGCGAGGGGAAACCCTCAAGCCAAACTATAAACACCAGCTGCYCTTTGGAGGGCGTCATTGACATWGTCAGGCAGAGTTGCAATGGAAAAAACGTGTGTATTGGTCCCCAATAGCCTTGGACCTGATCCGTGCTTTGGTACTGCCAAGTACCTGCAGACCACCTACACCTGCATGCCAGCTATTCATCGTACTGTATAATATGTGAGCACTCTCAGGCAGACCTGCAGTGTGACGAAGGACTGACAACCTCCATCTTCGGAGCTCATTATGAACGCAGAGACAAGACCACGTGCAGCCTTGGCGCCCAGATGATCAGCTCCAAAGCACAGCCTGCTCAAGCCCCACCAGCAACAGCAAGGTTGCTGCCAGCTGCCAGGGGCAAAACAGTTGTGTTCTAAATGCCTCAAACTCTGTGTTTGGAGACCCCTGTGAGGGAACTTATAAGTACCAGGAGGTGGCTTACGCCTGTCAGTGACATGATAAACCAGCCTGTGTAAAATCACACAATTCCTCCATTATTTCCAATAAACAAGGTTCAAAATAAAAAAAGAAATCTGTAGAGTCAGTGAAATGAAGTTTCTAGGTGTCACTATTGATGAAAAACTGACATGGAAAAATCATATAAATTG